GATGATTCTTATCCTTATTTATGAAGCATGTGCAACCTCATTACGATTTGATATCTGATTCCTTTAATGTCATTATTAGCGTAGGGATGATTGGCCATCTATTTGTGATGATTCTTATCCTTATTTATGAAGCATGTGCAATCTCATTATGATTAGGTATCTGATTCCTTTCATTTTATTATTAGAGTAGGGATGATTGGCTATCTATTTATGATTATTCTTATTTATCCTTATCACTTTATTAAATCTAAACATTAATCTACATTTAATTAAATGAATGAGAGGTTAAAAGTCGTTATGTCACCAATATTTTAAATATATTCTTCTAGATTCTTATGTGCTAGGTGGGAAATCTGAGATTTATCGTATTCAGAACCATATTAAACACATATTGAATCTTATATCATTTTATTATTTCTGTAGTTGAGTAGTGTTTCATAATATTTACTAGTTTGTTTATTTGTTTGTAATTAAGCACAAAGCTACACAATGGGATATCTGTGCTCTAACCACCACAGGTATCGAAACCCAGTTTCTGGCGTTGCAACTTCGCAGACATACGCTGTGACACTGGGGGGGGGGCAATATTTACTAGAAGATATACGCAATTAAGAGATTTTCAAATACATAGTTAAGAATCAAGAGTTATTCATAACTTTTCCTATGAACAGATATGATAAATAAGCCAAAGACTATGCGTAAGAAATAAGCTAACATTAATTCCAACATTTCACAAAACTTAGTAAAGAAGACTTTGTTTGTTTGTTGTTAAGCACAAAGCTACATACTGAGCAAGCTGTGCTTTGCTTATCGCGTGGGATGGAAACGTGATTTTTAGCGTTATAAGTTCTTAGGCTTACTGTTTAACCCCTGGAGGGCTAACTAAAGCAGACCAACCAAAGCGTTTGAAGTATTTACGACAATAAGCTTAAAACTGGGAATATCTTACGAAAAGCGATATTTCTATTTATTTTCCATTATTTTCTCTTTGTACGCTTAAAACTACGTGTTTTAATGAATGGACATTATTAATATTAAGGATAGAAATATCAAACTGTACTTTTTTCTATCTCTATTAGTGTGTTAAATAGTTATATACTAGTAAAATAAGTGTGTTAATGTATCTGCAAAAATTTAAGGAAGTAGAACGTAGTGACTGATGAGTTTGGGAATGGTATTATTCATATAAGATATATTTAATAAAAATAATAAAGAATAATTTTCCATATTCTACTGAGCAATATCTTAAGAGAGTAATTGATTTTTTATTTGGACTATTATAGGAACTTATAAGTAAAATAAAAAATATGTAATAATATATCAGGCACACTATATTTGGTAAATCCAGTACCGACGAGGCCTTTCGTCGAATTCTACGAATCATCGAGCCGGCTGGGATACGACATACATGGTAGAGGTCTTAGTGCTATTTTTCTCATAAACTGCATGAGTTACGACAATTATGGTTGAACTAGATTAAGTAAGTGAAGTGAAAATATTATAATTTTTATTTTAAATCATTTACAAATCAGAACTAGGGTAAGGATTACCAACACATTATTATTCATTTCGTTTTTGATACCAACTATTTATTACTTTCATTGTTGTTATTTTAATTTGAATTAATTTTACTATCATTTAGAAGAACTGGCAAACCAACAAGACAGTCTTCTTGTTTCCAGACTGGGTCAAACAACCACAGCGTCAACGGCACAAAAACTACATCATTGATTATAAGAAATTATGAGTGAGAGCAAAGAGTAATATGCAGTAATATGTCAACCACACTAGTTTTTATTTATATCATAACTGGGTGAAGTGAAGTATAATTTCTATCATATTTACTTCAATTCATTAACAAATCAGAATTATGATAAGAATCTTAACAGAGGGAGATATTTAAAGAAATTTGTGTACGTAATCTACTTACTGTACTATACCCCCCCCTCCCAAATAAAAAGGTCAAAAACATTGAGCCACTATACCTTTCACACAGACGAAGTGTCCAGCTGGCAATAATCCACAGAGAAACCATAAAGACCAACAATACAGTTCCTGGACAAATGGTCATCAAGGTCTTCAATACGAACCTGGTATTGAAGTTGATCCGGTTAAGGGCGCCAATACTTCTGGATGAAGCATCTGTGAAGAGTTTACTGTGTAGCAACATGACTCGACAGATGAGGTAGAGACGAAGAAACATGGGAAGCGACAACGTCACATCGATGGGGACTTTCGTGGACTCGACTCGGCCCCCGTGATTCGATAATTTAGTAGTCCACGTGAAATAATACTCCCCTGGCACAGGATGTACGCCACAAACAGTTAGCTCTAACAAAATAAGGGTTATCCTTTCCCATGTCATAGCTATTCTCCAGTCATCTGCGCAGTTATCGATCATGAAAAGCTAGAGGGGACAATATCAGTCAACCCGTAAATAAATTAAAGTGAAATAAATTTAAGATAACTTAAGATAAACTTCAGTATAATCTGCTTAAACCTTAGATTATATTTCCTTATTAATCTCTGGTTGCTTTAAAAATTCTGTTTATTCCCTATATTTTATTCACATGAGAAATACAATTCAGCAAAATAATAATAATGGGTGGTTGTCCTCTAAAACAAGTCAACTACTCAAAATGAGTTAGATTTCTTCTACGCAGTATAATGTTAACGATTATGCCATATGATTCTATTATAAGTTTATCTAATCATCATCTTAAAAATACTAAGAAGAAAAGTTTGTTAAAGAATTAAATTTTTATTCCTGAAAATGGACTCTTGACACTAATTTGTTTCCTTCTGAACCTCAACTCGGGTAGATGAGACATTGAGTTAATTCTCCTTACTCTCTTAATTTGTTTAACGCAGTTTCCTTTTGTCATTTTTCGTATACTTAATATTTTGAGGAAAATAACCTAATTTATCTGACGAGTTTTACTCTCATGTTAATCTCAGTAGATATATAGCTTTGGTAATAACGAAACCGGATAAAACCTAATAGTTTGTTATTAAGCACAAATATACACAAAGGGCTACCTGTGCTCTGCGCACCACGGGTATCGAAACCCGGTTTCTAGCGCTATAAGCCTACAGACATGCCGCTGTGCTACTGGGTGGCCGGATAAAAGTGGTAGAATAACATAGATTATATTCTCAAAGTTACTCACGAAATAATAGTCCGTTTGTTAAATTTCGTGAAAATCCAAGTTACTAAAAGTCTGTATCATATAAAAGGTCATTAAACATATTCGACTAGGCGAATCTCATATATGAAATTATGGACAGTATGTCTAACTTTTAGAAATTAGGCTGTCCTGTAAGATCCAAATTACATATAATACTGAAATTTACGATCATAGCTTGTCACATGTTTCCAGTATAATAATAAGATAATAGCAGTAATAGATTTAAGACCACAGACAGTTTTGGGAGCTCCTCGTTCAATTCACTAAATTTCATCAACATATACATACGTACAGTATGCTTTGATGTATAGTCATCATATTCCAATATTTCTTTACCAAAACTATTAATTTGTGTACAGATTTAGTGTTTTCTAAATTAATGTCTTTTGACGATACATCATTACAATTCATGTTGAATGTTGATATCAGATTAATGGGGATCTGTGCCGGATCTAAACTTGCTTCTGCCATAGTTAATTTGTTTTCAACCACCTTTAAATATTCTACTGGATATTTTAAGTGGACCATACTTCAGTGATTTCCTATAACGTAAAAATGGTGACTGTTTTCACAGTAACTGAATAAGGGACAATTTCATAGATTCGAGATAACATTTATGAATAGAAAGCCCAATATTCCGATCTGTTAGTTTTATTGAATTCAGTATCTTTGGGGAAAATACCCAAGAAAAACGCATGCAGGGTTTTACGAAGAAGCAAAACAGGTTAGCATTACAAACCATTAAGTAACATTTAGGTGCTTACTACACTGTTAAGAATGAAATAATTGAAGCATAACAGCTACTTTTTATAAACAGTAATGCAACACACAAACAGAAACATACAAAACAACGAGATAAATAATTAACTGCATCGTTTTTAAACTACCGTAGTCGCCACTGACAACATAAAACATATTTCACTAGAACACAAACAAATAGACGCAATTTTCCATGAACAATCTACGAACAAGGTGTTTTAATTATCAACCTTAACTTTTCTTAAATGGTTTTAGATATTGCGCATTTGTTGTTGGTATAGAGCACTGATACCTTTACTCATACCCTCTATGTCCAATAATTTATTTATGAAACTATTGCATGGAAGCTAGATTTTGGATTAGAGAAGATATTTTAAACAAGAACGAATCGACAGCATCATTGCAGGAAAACATTATCTTTATAAAGTAATACAACTTTGAAAACTCGGAGCATTCTTGTCTGCTTTGATTTCTGTATGAAACACACCTTTTACAACTTAGTTAACAAGAACATCAGAAATCAATTCAAACGTCCTTCGCTTCAATAACTTCCTAGCATGACGATTATCTGCTTACAGAAAATCTTGGTTGTTTCGTTCTTGTTTTCACAAGCAGTTCCACAAACTTCGACAAAAGTGAAAATTGTTTTATTTTAGGGGCAGATTTGCTCTATAAATATCAATTAAGTGAATGAAAACGAATGACATTTCAACTAAAAAAAATTACTTAAAGAAAACATTTTTTGATTAAACATAGTGAAACCTTTACGTATTTTACAATAACTTATGATTAGAAACCGTTAAAAACCTGGACCTAGAAAAAGTATTCTTATCGCTCAATGGACGCCACCAAAAATGTGTAAAATCTGAAAGTATATAGTTTATATCGATTAATTTTAAGTTGATATCACTTGAAACTTATAGCATCTGAAAGTTAGTAGTGTATCCCAATTAAATGTAGGATGATTTCACTTGAAACCGATAGAATCTGAAAGTATATAGTTTATATCGATTAATTTTAAGTTGATATCACTTGAAACTTATAGCATCTGAAAATTAGTAGTGTATCCCAATTAAATGTAGGATGATTTCACTTGAAACCGATAGAATCTGAAAGTTAGTAATGTATCCCGGTTAAAAATAGGACGATGTCACTTGAAACCGATGGACTTTGAAAGGAAATAGAGTATTTCTATTTCCGCTAAGATAATGTCACCAGAAACCGATACTTTAAAGTTAGTAGAGCATCCCAACATGATGTGACGTCACCAGAATCTGATAGAAACTCAGAGGGGTGAGGGTATTTCAATCGGGTTCGTGTGTGTGTGTGTGTGTGTCTGTATGTCTGTGTTTCCGCGCGCGTATCTCGAAAACCAATAGACCGACGTACACGAAAATTCTACATAAGATGGAAAGTTAGTATGGAACAGTCCTTCCCAAACTTGGTTCCAATTCAAATCCGGATCCGGATTTTGGATCATTTTGAATCATTTTTTATAATGGAGAAATAGAGCATTTTCGCGGTTTGGGGTTAATAACTCTATACAATGTGATCGGATTTGTACCAATTTCATGAGCAAATTAAGGTTGAAACTTCTCATCACACTACAAGAAATGATACTGATCGTTGATCATTCTGGATCTGAGAAGGATTTTCTGTGGTTTCGAAAGTGAAATTTGACGTTATCAATATAAACGCATGCAATCTCGAAGAGGAGTGGCGGGGCGAGGGTATGCAATCTCTCCGATTGCTCTTGTTACTAATAGGATACCACCAAAAATTAATATAACCTGTAGAATATCCCTATTAATACTAGAATACCACCAGAAACTGACAGAACCTGTAAGCAGAGTATCCTTAATGATACTCAGATATCAGCAAAAACTCATAAAATATGAAAGTAAAAAATCTAATACTATATGCCCTTAAGAATATCATCGTAAGTTAATAGAACCTAAGCATAACTACAGAATCCATATTGTTCCAAGAATCTTACCAGGAAATAACATAATCCGAAAAAAAATGAGGATTTCTATCTCTCTAATGATTTATTTATGTTATTATGTCTTGTTGCATCAATTACCAATTATCTTAAGTCTATTGTTTGGTTGGTATATATTTATACTACTTTATCTGGTTTGATAAGTTTCGTATTTGATTAGTAAATTAGGTTATCTGTAGATAAGGTAGACAAGTAAAACTTAGATAAAAGACAATAAAGAATAAGTTCACAAGTCTAAATGAAACCTTTTTTCTAGTTTTATTTTGTGCAACGTTTTGGGCAGACACCATTCGTGGAGTAGTAAAGACCGTGTTACAAAGGAATTAGGTTTTACTGATCCTAATTCCTTTGTAACACGGTCTTCACTGCCTGTCGAAGGGTGTCTTCCCGAAATGTCGAACAAAATAAAACCAGAAAAAAGTTTCATTTACATTTGTCAACTTATTCTTTGTTGTCTTTTATTCATTTTTTTCCCACGTCATGCGGAACAATTCTCATTCATAGGTAAATAAAAGCTACAAATATATATCTAAATATCTAATACTTCACATTATGTATATATTGGATTATTTCACAAAATAATAGAATTAAAATATTGTATTGATTTAGAACTTTTCAACTATGTCTTCTTGAATAAACGCATACACACTATTCATTATGCCCGATATTTCAGACATTAACAGACAATCATATAATCTAGGGATTATAGGCTGCTTGCAAAGTAATTTAGATTAATGCATGACTTAAAAGCTGGGCCTAAGAGATGTCACGCTTTAGCATAGAATCAAATAATCTAAAGCCGAAAATGACGCCACACTTGGGTAACAAGTAACACCATCAGCTTAGATAGGCTGATATATTACACACTGTGTATATTTTAATCACCATACGTTTCAAATTTTTTGGAAATTCGCGCAAAGCTTCTCGAGAGCTTCCTGCGCTAACCATCCTTGATTTAGATATTATAGAGTAGAGGGAAGGCAGCTAATTAACACCAACCACCGTTACTCTTGGGCTACTTTTTTTAGTAATGAAAATTTGGATTAATCGTCACAATTAGCGCCCTCACGGCTAAAAGGGTGAGCATGTTCGCCCACCAGTCGATCAGACAAGAGTATCCAAGAGTTGACAGTGGCTACTGTTAACTATCTGGCTTCCCTCTAGTCTATCAGCCCTAAACTGAATACAAGTATGCGCTAAATAGCCTTTGCGTAGCTTCGTACGAAAATCTTGAAACCCAACAAATAAAAATAGATAAGACGCAATCAAATAAACTAGGTAATGTCAGCCCATTCTTGGTTAAACTATCCTCTTCAGGGTTACATTGGGACGAACTACTGAAAAATAAATAACATTATTACATTTAGTTCAGTAATCTCTATGAATTCTCTGATCATCATACGTCATTACCTAACACTATACATTTTAAGAGCTTTCCTTTTACTGTAAATAATATTC